AACTCAATGGAGTGAGTTTCAGCCCTGATTACTCCAAGCCTCCCAGCCCCCCTCCCCCAACCCCCTGGAGTAAAAAAGGAGTATGATTATGAAGTGTGGGAGTAGGAAGTTCATTAATTAGGTAGGCAGTAGTAGTTAAGGTATATGACCAAAAAATATTGGGAAGACTTGCATGGTGAAGTAAAGTGAGGCCAATCTCAACAATATGATGATGTTGTCGTTCGACAAAGCCATTATGTATAGGGAGGGGTATGAGGTGGAGAAGTGAGATGAGATATCCCAAGTTGAGTAAGTATGGGTGTTAAGGCCTTAAATTCACCTCCGTTATCACGGAGAAAGGTTTTAATTTTGGTGGAAAATTTGTTTTCAACTAAGGGTTGAAAGGCACGAAACGTAACAACAACATGAGATTTTTGTTTAAGAGGATATAAACACACATAGTGAGTAAAGTGATCAACAAAAATCACATAATATTTGAAATCATCAATAGAGTGAACGGGAGACGTCCATACATAAAAAAATATTTCAAGGGGATGGGTAAATCGTAGAGATGTTAATGATGAGGGTATGATCACTGGTACAGGGGAAAGAACCATCAATATATTCGTCAAATGCATAACCTGTGACAATAGCCATAATATGAAGTTTCCAGGATGTGTAATTGGTGGCAGTGAGTTTAATAACACGAGAGAGGTCAAGGGAAAGGAGACTTTTGAGACTCAAGACAAGAAGGAATAATGATGTCTGTTGTGGAATCATTAGATCAAGTGGGATCAACCATGGTGGGTAGTGGCGGACTCAGAGAAATAGAGTCACGGGGTCCCTAATTAATACTCCCTCCGTCCCATTAGAAGGTTTCCGTGAATGGTTTATGAAGTTTACACTACAAAAAAAACGGGATTGACAGAGTTTTTTGGCAGGGATTTTCCGAAATTGGCAAGGATTTTGGCAGGGATATATGCCAAATTCGTGCCAAAAATAGTTTAGTCTGTTCGTATTTTAAGTTATACAAGTGACAAAATAATATAGATGATCTTGATTTGTAAAAAACAAAGAAATAAAAATAAATAAATAAAATCTTTATTTGTAAAAAAAATTGTATGAATAATGGGTAAACTATAAATCTTTTTAGAAAAAAAGAAAATACTACTACGTATAAAATAATAAATGTCATCATGCACCCGTTGCTCTGGGTTGCCTAATTTTATCTTTTGTCCTGTTTTTATTTGGACTAGTTCAGTGTAGTCTGATATGGTCTGATCTAGTTTGAGTTGTTCTGTATTTATATGATCTGGTCTGATCTGCTTCGATCTGGTCTGATCTGCTTTAGTCCGAGTAAAACGATAACAATTTTCGATAATGTGGAAGGAATATTATTATTTTTAATTATAAATGAATAAAATATAATTATTTATGGATTATAATATATATATAATAAAATATTTATTCAAAAATATAAAAAATAAAATTTCAGACCAGACCAGCAAATTAAAGTCCAAGTAAAAACATCCTGATATGCCTAATTAATTGAAGAATTATATAATACTGTAATTGAAGATGTATGTAGGTCCACCCTTGTTTTAATGTCATGGAATAAGTTTAAAAAACAAAACATTAGGGGTGGTGAGGGAGTCGAACATAGTACCTCAGAGAAAGAAATTTCTAATGTGATGCATGATCCAGTTATGCTACTCCATTCTTTGGTTTTGTTCATTTCTTTTACTATATATATATTTCTTAGTTAATTTTATATAAAATATATATAATATATAAGTATTTATTTGGAAGTCCATGGGGTCCCGGGACCCCATGGGACCCTTAGTGGGTCCGCCACTGATGGTGGGAGAGGATGATCACACGTGAAGGAGAAGGAAAAAAATATGGATCGATTACTGCTCTGATACCATGAAGAGAGTAAGTTGAAGAGGTATTTGTATTCTATTGTTGTATTGAAATAATCACACGAGTCTACATCACACACACACACACACACACACACACACACACACACACACATATATATATATATATAGATAAGAGATCAAATACAAACCATGCTTAAAATACTAACCTACAAACTTAATAATATGCATCACTTTGAACTTCAATATGCAGTAAAAATAATGTAAAGATGCAGGGGTGAGATCACATACAAACTAGTCCTCTCATTCAAATAATCTTTGCATTATTTGTATTGCACATTGAAGTTCAAAGTGTTTCATAATATTCAAGCCAGAAAATAGCAGTTTCATATTTACATTATTTGTATTGCATATTGAAATTCAAAGAGTGCATCTTTACATTATTTGTACTGCATATTGAAGTTCAAAGTGTTGCATATTATTGAGTTTGTAGGTTAGTAAGTTAAGCATGGTTTGTATGTGATCTACCCCTATATATATATATATATATATATATATATATATATATATATATATATATATATATATATATATATATGGAGTGGATCAGGTGAGAAGTGTCCTTAGTATGAGAACTGCGAAGCTAACTTATATACTGAAAACATGAACTTTTAAGTTTTAACCAATAAATCATAACTTATAAACCCCATAAAATAATTACAAAAAATGCCACCACAAAAAAATAACTCCATAAACCTTGATTTTTTTGACGCATTGGCATTTTCGTAATTATGATGGAGAGTTTTATAGTTACAATTTATTGGTTATAAGTTTCTATTTTTAGTCTATAAGTTTACTGCGTTGTAAGATCACATGCAAATCCAAGGGCTAAGATTACTTCTCACTTCTCATTTCTTAAGGGAAACTTCTCACCTGATCTTCTCTCTATATATATATATATATTTATATATATATATATAGGTTTTGGTTCAAATAAGAACACGATCTAAGGAGAGAAATGAGAACGAATCTGGACCGTTAGATTTGCTTTAAGTGAAATTCAATGTGCATTAGATGAAACTGTAATGTGCATTAGGTGAAATTGAAATGTGCAACACAAAGCGTATGATACAATGTCATTAAGTGAAGCTGAATTGTGCATTAGGTGAAATTGAAATGTGCACTAGGTGAAACTGAAATGTGCAGAATAAAAGGTACGATGTGATGTTATTTTTGTACATTTTATTCCGCACATTTCAGTTTCACCTAATGCACAATTGAGTTTAAATTTTTATTCTGCACATTTCAGTATCATGTAATACACATTTCAGTTTCATCAAATGCACATTTCCGTTCCACATAATACAATCCAACGGTTCAGATTCGTTCTTATTTCTCTCCTGGGAGTCTGTTCTTACTGGAACCGCTCCCTAACTATATATATTTTTTACTTTTTCAACAACTTTCTTAATAATTGTGTCAAGTCAAAGTGAGATACATAAAATGGGATGAGGTAGTATTATTTAATTACTTTTGTGGTTCACATATGTCTAATGTTAATTATTCACTGCATTTACACTATTCATAGTTAATAAATTTTGGTTATGACCTACTCCCTCCATATTTTGTTTGTTTGTTACACTTTCTTTCTTCATATTTACACTAAATGACCCATACTTTTTCCGTTCTTCATATTCTTCTTCATACTTTTTCACTCTTATATTTTTAGATTCTAGTCAAATATTCCTGCTATTTTTCCAATATTATTGTGTCAAACCCTATTGTAGAAAATAATATAATATAGAGGAGTGTAATGTATAAATTTTAAATAATGAGATGACATAGTATTATTAAGATGAAGGTTTGTTTTAATATGAGTTAATTGCCTCATTAGGAGTAAAAGGTGGTCAATAATCACATATAGGACTACATTATTTTTTAACTCACTAGTAGGACTAATTATTTGGGTTTGGACAAATATACCACTGTAGCTATTGAAATGTTTTATTTCAATATAAAATCAATAAAATAATAAAATCGTGAAAAATAATAAAAATTAATAAAAATATTTATAAAATATTTTTTTTAAAGATATTAAAAAATAAAATAAAATAAACGTAAAAAACAATCACCGCCGCCTCTGCCACCCCAACACCACCACCTCCGGTCACCGGAAAAAAATGTCACATGCATTATTAATGCTATATCAATGGCAGATTCAATGAAAATTTTGGCATTATCAAAGAGTAATATGTCAATTTTTGGCATTTTCATAAAAAATGGCCTTTTTTAAAAAAATGTCTTTTTTCACTGGTCGGAGGTGGTGGTGCAGGGAGGCAGTACAGGCGGTGGGAAAGACATCCATTTTTATTTTCTTATGGATTTTTACTATTTTTATTAATTTTTAAATTTTTTATTGTTTTTCTTTTAATTTTTATTTTATTAATATTTATTAATTTTTAATATTTTTCTATGATTTTGTATTATTTTTTACGATTTTATTATGAACTAATACATTTAATGATGACTTTTCACTATCTTTTACTCTTATCTAAAGGAGGGGTAGGAATGAAATGAAAAAATACGTATGTTATCAAATAGGAGTAATATGATCCTATTTTTGAATAAAAACACAAGAAGTCATATTTTTTATTTTACCCTAGTTTTACTCCTATCTGGGGTAATTTCTATTTTAATATTTATATAATGCATGATTAATCATTTTGGATTCAATTTTTAAGAGCCTCTAGAGATTCGTTGCAAAATTGTGATTCTAGCAAACTTGGGATGTTTTTACTAGGACTGTAATTCCTCCTAGATCAGACCAGATCAGTTCAGATCAGACCAGATTTGGATAGTTATAAAAATACAAAGAAACCAAATCAGACAAGACCAGACCAGCAAATTACGATCCAAGTAAAAACATTAAATAAGGGAAATATCTTTGGACACTACAATTTGTCATGATTCCTAGCCTACCTTTTCATTGAAAGTTAAAACATAAGCGGTTGGTTGAATTGGCACGTACCTTAAAAAATATCTCTGGACAGAATTCCTTCATCAAATGTGAGTCTGCGAAAACAAAGGAGATCCATTCAAGGAAAAACTCGATCACCCAAAGAACGTAAAGGGCTAGGGGTAGAGCATGCATGCAGAGAGTTAGGGAGGAGAAAGAGTGAAGAGAGAGGATTTCACGTCGTCTTCTTCTTCTCCTCCCGCTCTCTCATCATCAATCAACGTATGTGAGAAACAGTGATTGATCTGACACGGTATTAAAATATTAACCAAACAACTAACATATATATAGCTAGAGAGTGCACAAAATAAACGTGGCTCTAATTCGGGTATTCCTTCAAGCTCTCATGGCCCCAAGCAAACTCAAGAAGGCGATTGGGGCCATGAAGGACCAGACGAGCATCAGTCTTGCAAAGGTAGGGTCCAGCGATTCCCTCTCAGATTTGGAGGTCGCCATCGTGAAGGCGACACGTCATGAGGAATACCCGGCCGAAGAACGCCATGTGCGTGAGATCCTCAACCTAACCCGCTTCTCACGGGCCCACGTGGCCGCTTGTGTCACCATCGTCTCCAAGCGTCTTGGCAAAACCAAGAACTGGGTGGTGGCGATCAAGGCCCTCATGCTCATCCACCGTCTTCTCAATGACGGCGACGCTGCGTATGAGCAGGAGATCTTTTTCGCCACTCGACGCGGGACCCGCCTTCTCAACATGAGTGGTTTTCGTGACTCATCGCGATCGGAAGACTCGTGGGATTTCTCGGCATTTGTTCGGACTTATGCACTGTACTTGGACGAGCAGCTCGAGTTGCGGATGCAAAACCACCGCCGCTGCAGAAAGCAGAGAGGCCACCGTTTAGAGTATGATAACCAGAATGAGGAGGAAGTTCCAGCATTGCAAGAAATGAAAATTGAGATGGTCTATTCAAGAATCCATCACTATGTCCACATTCTTCAACGATTCTTAGCATGCAAACCAACAGGTTCGGTGAGACAAATTTCCCTAACACACACCCACACTCACACCGTCCCACTCCCATGTCTCCTAATTTCATTCATCACATAGCTTATCCATTTATCGTATATAAATTTTAGGTAATGTTCTTTTAATGTTTTAAGATCTAAGCCATGACGTACTTATGAGTTTATTTTAATCCTGATTTGCAAAGTCAATTTTTTGTTAAATATTTCCTAGGATATTACTAGGGGTTATTCCCTTAATATTACTAGTACTAAATTGAACTGAATTTCAAAAAATGTGAGTACTTTTAAAAATTGACAAAAAAGTGATTAATAAGATCACATATTTGGAATTAGAAAACATGATGTCACTTGAAAAATTTTATGTCACTATATTCGTTATTCTTGTCACCGAAAATTGTCAAAGTCAAAATTTTCACGCCAATTGCACCGCCACAGTGACATCATCATAGTGACGCCGCCACAGTGACACCACCACCAATATTAATTAATAAAATTATTAGACAAAAATATTGGCGGCCACAGTGACTACCGTCATCCACCGCCGACCACCACCACCGGCCACTACCTCCGGTGACCCGCCACCGCCGCCAGCAACCGCTGCAGTTACATCGCTGCTGACCACAATAATGCCGTCACAGTGACGAGTCATTTTTCACGACGACGCCACAGCCCCAGCCCCAGGCATCACAACCACTAACAGTCGAATCCACGATGAGCAACCCCTAGCCCCACACACCAGCTCGCCAGCCCTCATCCCCACTACCGGTCCCCCTCCCCTGCTCCCCCATCGCCGGAAAGCTTAGCCATACCACCACCGGACCCTACCACCATAGAACCCTCATCTCACCCCACCAATAGCGGCGGCCCCAAATCGAAGTCGCCGTCCACCGAGATGGCAGATCCGGCACCGGCGGCCACAAATCGCAACCGCCGTCCATCAAAGACTGCAGATCCGGAACCTACGGCCCTAAATCGGAGTCATCATACATCGAGGCGGGGAATCCATCACCGGCGGCCATCTAGGACGACGGAGAGGCTAGCCAAGGTGCGGCAATCGACCATCGGCCATAAAGAAATGAGAAGAAGAGAACGGCTGCGGAGCGATGGAGAGTTGTGGCAGTAGAGGCTTTGTCGTTGGAGGCCTGATTGAAGGTTGAGAGAGTGTACAGTCAACTTTGGGAAGGTTGGGAAGACATGATTCGTAATCTTGAGAGAGGAAAAGGTTTGGGCGACATATTGGGAGAGGTTACTTTTCTGTCCAAATGACTTTTGGTGAGTTTTTTCCCAAACTATGTAGTTTCAAAACTTATTTCCCAAAGTATGATACTTTTAAACTTATTTCTCAAACTAGGGTACTTTTTTGCCACATCATCCAACCTGCCACGTCACGGATGCCACATAATTGCTAGTTATTCCATGTCATCAATTTGTGTGTGTTTTACTTAATAAAAAAATATGTCACTAAGAGAGTTGAACCCATGACCTCTTATAACTTTATAGTAGTCCAATCAACTTTGGGAAGGTTGGGAGACATGATTCGTAATCTTGGGAGAGGAAAAGGTTTGGGCGACATATTGGGAGAGGTTACTTTTCTGTCCAAATGACTTTTGGTGAGTTTTTTCCCAAACTATGTAGTTCCAAAACTTATTTCCCAAAGTATGGTACTTTTAAACTTATTTCTCAAACTAGGGTACTTTTTTGCCACATCATCCAACCTGCCACGTCACGGATGCCACATAATTGCTAGTTATTCCATGTCATCAATTTGTGTGTGTTTTACTTAATAAAAAAAATATGTCACTAAGAGAGTTGAACCCATGACCTCTTGTAACTTTATAGTAGTCCAAAGAACCATTGAACTACAATGCTCATTTGATATAAGTTCTCATTTAAATATCTTTAACATATAGGACAATACAAATTTTAAGTTCTGAGATGTACTTATTTAACTCGTGGATTACTCGTTCCATTAGGATATATTACTTCTTTCTCTAATAATTAAAGAATTTGTGAAAATTTTAATTTAATATATTCAATTAAAAAATAAACATTAAAAATTATGATAAAAAGTAATATGATATATCTAATTATAAAAACAATTTTATTTTATATGTTCGAGTTCAAATAAGATGCTCGAAATCGAGCTAAGCAAATAATGAGAAATTGAAAAATAATTAATTAAATAAAATAAATAAATAAATAAATAAATGGATACATAAATAAATGGAAAAAATTATTTATATTTTTCAACTTTCATTATTTGTTTAGCTCGATATTGAGCATCTTATTTGAACTCGAACATATAAAATACAATTTTTTTATACTTACATATATGCAAATACGTTTTATTCATAATTTTTAATTGGATTTTTATATTTTAATTGAATAACTCAAATTAAAATTTTCACAAATTCTTTAATTATTTGAGTTAAAAAAGTAAATTTGAGAACTTAAAATTTTTATAATCGTTTATGTTAAAGCTATTTAAATGCGAGCTTATACCAAATTATCATTGTAGCCTAGTGGTTTTTGCATTACGATGATGTACATGAGAGGTTGTGGGTTCAAGTCCCACTAGTGGCATATTTTTTTATCAAGTAAAACACACACAAATCGATGACATGGAATGACTAGCAATTATGTGTCATCCGTGGCAGGTTGGATGACGTGGCAAAAAAATACTCTAGTTTGGGAAATAAGTTTAAAAGTACCCTACTTTGGGAAATAAGTTTTGAAACTACCCCAGTTTGGGAAAAAACTCGACTTTTGGTCACATTTATGTCATGTAAAAGCCTATTAGTATTATTTGTGCCATTAATTCATATTAATAAAACTCAATGAGTTTCCCAATCTATGACCTAACTAGTTTTTCGACTTTTGTATGACCAAAACTCCAAAAAAATAAATAAATTTTGTTTATATATAAAGGTTGAATGACGAAAATACCCTTATTTAAAAAATGTTCATTTTGCACTAATTTCTTCCAATTAAAATTACTGCAATTTGTATTGCCATTAATGCACAACATTAATGCATGATTTTATTGCACATCCGATAATTATCACTGCACTTCCGCCAAAATTAATTCTCTTCTCATTCACTTGAGGAATTTATTTTTAGTTTTTGTTTTTTTGTTTTTTAGATTAAATAATTGTATTATTTTACGACTAATTAAGTATATTGCATTTCGTGATGATATTTATGCTCTGGGTCACTGCAATTCTGGTCATAATCACCGCATAACAAAAATTCTTAATGCATTCATTCACTGTCTTGTACAACATGTCTATTACCATGTATATTCAATGCAATTCCCGCCAATGTTGTAACATTATCTATTGCCTTCGAATCACTGCACATAATACTTTTTCAATGCACATGTTCAATGCCTATAACCCCTAATTTCAGAAAACACGAAAGAAGCCAACAAAGCCTAATCTTGATTAACCAAAAACCATCGCTGCAGAAGGAACTCGTGTGGCCGGCCGGCTGGTCACTACTGCCTGGAATGCAAAAACTCTGGCACCCATGGTCAACAACACAATGGCAGGGAGTGCAGATACATCTGTTGCATCTTCCTCGAGGGTCCAACCTTGAAGGCAGTGGTGGTTGAAGCTAAGGCCGTCCATGGACCAGTGCGTCTCTTCACCCTCGACATTATGGCATCAAAGACGGGTACGAGGCATGTTGTGTGATGGGTGTCATATGAGGTATGCGAAGGTGAGAGGAAGGAGGGTGAGAACCAGATGGTGCTGCTGCTGCAGTGCGGCGGCGGCAGTGCGGCTGAACAATGGGTCGAAGAACGGCTGTGGAAGGGGCTGTGCGGTTAGGGTTGGAGAGAAGAGGCTATGGTTGGAAAAAATGAGAAAGAGCTTAGGGTTTTATAGACATAGCTTAAAGGGTATATTAGTCCATACAAATCAATTAATTAATTATTAATTACTTCATCCGGTTCTTAATTAACTTTACACTTTCCTTTTCAGGTCGTCCCATATTAAACTTTACACTTCCTTATTTGCCTTATTTGGCAAACAAATCTACACAAAACAATGCAAAACAGTGCTAAACAGTGACAAACAGTGTCAAACAGTGTCAAATAGTGTATTCTACAGTAAAGTCAAATTTATTTCCTTAATATGTGTGAAGTCAAAGTGTAAAGTTTAATAAGGACCGGGGGAGTACGAAATTAATTATATATTACCAATTTAAATATTATTTTTGGAAAAAAACTAGTTAAGTCATAGATTGAGAAAGTGAGAGAGTTTTAGTCATACCTAGGGTAATTATCTCTATTCATTTTATTATCAATTTTATCATATTATAATTTGGATTGTGGAACTACATTAAAATCGAACTAATTATCAATATGGAGATTTAACTTTAACATTGGTTGGGGAAAATATTGACTTTACATACTCTCTGTCTCACAAAATTTGGTCAAAGTTGACTTACACGTAAATTAATAAAGTAAAAAACGTGTGTTTGAAATTTGTGCAAATGAGAGAGAAATAATATTAGTCATATATTTCTTATTTTAAATGGAAATGACAAAGATTTTTGTGTAATTGATTGATATAGAATTGATCAATTGATGATGTAATTGTGCGCAGGTTGTGCAAAGCAGCACAGATTAGTGTCGGTAGCTCTTTATCCAGTAGTGAAAGAGAGCTTCGAGATATACCATGGAATGGCACAACTACTGGGGGTCCTGATGGACCGATTCATGGAGCTTTCCATTCCCGAATCAGTGAAAGTGCATGAGATCTTCTGCCGCGTCGCCAAGCAATTCGATGAGCTGCGCCTCTTCTACACCTGGTCCAGATCCAACGGAATCGCACGCTCCTCCGACTATCCGGACGACGTCGTTATGGTCAATGACAAACTCGATCTCATGGATGATCTGATCCGGGAGAAATCCGAGCGGAAGAGACGCAGCAGCTGCAGCAGCCAAGTATACGATGATGAACCGGATCCGCTACCAGCGAATGCTCTTCCACCACCGCCGCCGATGAAGGAGGTGGAGGAAAAAGAGGAGCAGGAGATAGGAGACCTGTTGGACTCGGGAGATGGAGGAGCGCAGATGACGGCTGCAGCTGATCAATTAGCTTTGGATTTATTTGATGGTGCGTCTGCTGCTGCTGCGCCACATTCCGCCGCCGGAGATTGGGAAACCGTTCTGGTTCAATCCGCTTGCTACTTGTCAAACAGCAAGGCACAACTCCCAGGAGGCTTCGACGCCTTACTCCTCGACGGACTGTACCAACAGGCAAGCATTCAATTCAAATCTGTAGCCATTTATTAAAACTACTACCCGCCCCCGCCGGCCCTTTTTTTAGTTAATCCATGGACGGACTTACCTTCATAAAAACGGGCATCCTGCTGAATTAGTTTGAGGATAATTAATAAGTTGAGCTGCTCAATTGCTTCCTTTTTCTTCCGGGCATTCACTTTCATCCTTACTTCCTACGTTCTCCATTTTTCTTTTCTTTTGTTTATTCTTATTTTTTTTGTATGCATTTCTTCCATTTTTTCTTCTCGTTTTTTCTTTTTTTCTTTTTAATTTTGATTTTTTCCTTTTCCCTTTTCTTTTGATTTTGAACTTTAATTTTTCTAACTTCAACGTTTCTTTGCCTTTTTTTGTATCCTTTTTTCATTTTTCTTTTTATATAGACTTTATGTCTTCTCTTTTTCTAATTTTGAACTCCTACTTAATAAAATTGGTTGGTCTAAAATAAGGAATCAGTTCTTTTTTATAATCTACAGGTATGAGCTTACTGCATACACAAATTGATATTTAAACATATTCAAGATTTTAAATGAGTTTTTTAAATTTTCGATGCTCATTTCGTAAATTAACTATGCTCATTTGATATTGGTGTAATGTTCATTTTAAAATGAACATTACATTAGACAACTTAAATGTGATATCAATGCATATTGGTGTCATGCTCATTTTGAACTTTTTGATGCTGATTTCACACGTTATGTATTCACATTTAATATTTGAGCATAGTAGAGATCTTAAATGATCTTTCTGAATTTTTGTGTGCTCATTTCATAAGTATGTATACTCATTTGATATTGGTGTAATGCTCATTATAAGTATAAAAGTGTAAGAAAAAGAACCTAATAAGGCCCACAAAAAAGGCCTAGTTAAGAAACACATTCCATTTACAAAAACTTATTAAATTATTTATAATCAACTCGTATGAAATTTTCATTGAGCATCAAACCTAAGTTATTTCCGCTATATATTGAGATGAAAATCATGGTTTTTTGTGCACGAGCATTTATGAACTTTTAATGAGCATCAGACCTATTATGTTGAGTATTATGAGTCTAACATAAAATAGTACTTTTAAAAAACGCATTAATATGACATTTATAAAATGAGCATAAGATCAGTATCAAATGAGCATATGTAACTTCCAAAATGAGAATTAATGAATTTGTTAGTTGTTTTTTTAGTTGAACATCACGACATTTTCATTGAGATCGAAGAAAATGACAATTTCTGTTAAATGAGCATTAATGAATTTTTAATGAGCATTAGACCTATAAAAATGAGCATATGTAGCTTACAAGATGAGCATAGATATGAAAATTGTAAGTTTTGTTTATTGAGCATCAAGACATTTTCCGTGAGTTGTGAGCATCAAACATGCGTTATTGAGTATTAGAATCTGCGATTGAGTATCATGATTTGTTGTCTCGTGTCTATAATCAACATCTATATAAATCTAATATAATATGAGACTTTTGAAATATGCATTGCTAAAACATTTTAAAAATGAGCATAATAGATATACTAAATGAACATACATAATTTCCAAAATGAGTCCAAAAATTCAAAAGCTCATTTGTGTATGTTCATTTTTTAGACGTTTTACTCATTTGTGTTTAAAGTAAAACTCATTTCTAAAGTGTTCAGTGTTAATATATAGAGAAAAAGAAAGAAGTAATAACAAATAAAGAAACCAAAAGAAGTAAAGAAAAAAGAATTACTGACATCCGTTTTAGACCGAGGGATAGTTTTCTCTTCAGTTTCAGTTAAAGTTAGTCATCAACAAAACTAAATAACCAACACAAAAGAAAGTAAAACCAACGTACTAGCTAGCGCTAAAAGTAAAGAAAAAAAATTAAAAAGAGTAACAATCATGAATGAGTATGACATGAGTATGGCGTCAGAAGAAAAGTTGCATGAGTATGGCGGTCGAACTGCAGAAGAAAAGAAAGAAAAGTGGATGGCTGCGGGAGAGGAAAGAAAAGAGGATGACGGCGGAAGAGGAAAGATGATGGAGGGAACATGCGGATTCAACGAGAAGGAAGATTAGAGAGCAAAGGTTTAAAGTTGCTAAAAATTACAAAATAACCGGATGTACACATACCCGGGTGTAGGATATACTAGTATTAGATTCCATATTAGGGTTTAGTGTACACATACCTATGTACGGAGTATTAGATTCCATATACTAGTATATTTCAGTGAACCCAGGGCGTATCCAGGAATTTCCGTCAATGGGGGCAAACTTTCATTAGACATCTCACACATGTCGTGAATAACGATCATATTAATAAAAAAGTGTAAAATCAATTAAAATAACAAAATATTTGTGGGACAAAAATATTACGATATCAAATTTCATGACAGATAAATTTTTACTTGGCTAAAAATAAATTGGAATTTTATTGATTCGGGATCTGAAATTTGGGTTTATTATCAATTCTGGACCTGAAACAATAATTCTATCAATTAGGGACCTATAAGATTACAAATTTACAATCTATCGATACAAGGCTTAAAAATTTCACACCGTTAACATACCTCTAACGGAAATTCGATAAACCGCCACCTACATTAATAATTGCCACATGTACATCCCAATCACCATTAGAAATTGACACATACTTTTCACTTCATGTTCCTTTATCTTATCGTCGTTTTCTCCTTTTTTTTCACTCCATCGTTTCCTTTTCTCCTGTCTTACCTCATCCACACATACCTACAAGCTTTTGCTGCCATTCCAATTTCTAAATAAGGTTTAAAAATTTCAAGAGCTGCCATTGAATTCCATCGTTTCATTTAACCAAGAGAACAAAAGCTTTTGTTCTTCTGACAATAAGAGCTTTTGCTGCCGGCCATTTCAATGTCTAAATTGGAATTCAAGATTAAGAGATATCTAGTAATCACTTCTTAGTTCTTCTGTTAATCTTTTTCACTCCAACCCATTGCACCTTCGCATGAGGAGAGCAATTTCGTCAAAGCTTCGTTTGCCGGTAAGTATGGGTCTGCTCGACGATTTTTTGCTGCTTTGGTCAATCTTTTAATGACTGTGTGAGGTGTTTAATTTTTGTAATATTTTTTTAGAATAGTCTTATGGAATTATATAGAACAAGCAAGCGAGTTCTAGATGACATGAAATTATTGAGTGTATATGGTTTCCGTAAAAACTTCCTTCAGTTTCAACAAGCTGATCACGATATATCAACTTCATTCGATATATGGTTTATCGAATTTCCGTTAGAGGTAAGCTAGCAGTGTTAAAATTTTAAGCCTTATATTTGATAAATTTGTAATCTTATAGGTCCCTAATTGATAGAATTATTCTTTCAAGTCTAGACTTGATAGTAAACCCAACTTTCAGGTTCTGAACCGATAAAATTCCTAATAAATTTGATTGCATGGTTTGTAATTTATTCAAAATTATGTCAGCAATAAGAATTAAATAAGAAATGAATCAAGTATTTATTTAGAATTAACTTAAGTTGCGAATACACACGTATATTTAAAATTTAATTTATAGTAAATGTAAATGTTAAACTTCACAAATTATATGCGAAAAATTAACCTGAAGTAGTTTTTTTGACAATTCTTCCTAACCTATTTTAGTGATGCCATCAAATCACAATGTACTTACGTATTCAAGTAGTTCAAACAAGCCAAAATTTAAATACACTTGTCTAAACTCGAAGTAAATTTAAATTTGTTTAGAGCTTGAAATTGCAAAAGTAAAACAAAATGAATAAGGCTTTTAACCGACCTCAAACAAAATTAAAAGGCTTTTAAATAAAATAGCAAACGTGAAACAAAATGAAAAAGGCTTTTAACCAACTTGAAACAAAATAAAAAAGGCTTTTAAACAAAATACTCCCTCCGTCCCTGTTTTTTCTCCCATTTCGGCCGGGCACACTAATTAAGATAGTGGATTTTGTGTGGTGGAGAGTTGTGCAGAGGAGAGAGAAATGTGTAGGAATGTGTAAGAATGATTGTGAACCACAAATTTTTTGCCAAAAAGGGAAGGAGGAGATAATTTTGGGACGGACGAAAAAGGAAAGTTTGAAGATAATTCAGGGACGGAGGGAGTAAAAAAGGCTTTTGACCAACGCAAAACAAAATGAAAAGGCTTTCAAACAAAATGAAAAACTTTAAGGAGTTGCGATTCGAACCATTGATCAATTTGTAAGCTTGCCCCACACATCAAACTAAGCTCCGCTCTGTCACAGCTATCCATGGTTACCATACTTGTTTATACTACCTCCGTCCCGAAATAATCGTCCTGGTTTGAACTTCACACAGATGAAGAAAGTGAAGTTGACTTCACAGTGTAGCGACACTGTTTGGCACTGTAGCGACACTGTTTGGCACTGTTTTGTATAGATTTGTTTACCAAATAAGGAAATGAGACAATTATTTCTGGACGGATCGAAAAGGAAAGCAGGACAATTATTTCGAATAACTTACTCATTTTGAATACCTATTTTCATACTCCCTCCGGTCCCTAATGAAGTTTACACTTTGACTTCACACATATTAAGGAAATAAATTTGACTTTACTGTAGAGTACACTGTTTGGCACTGTTTTGCACTTTTTGGTGTAGATTTGTTTGCCAAATAAGACAAATAAGGAAGTGTAAAGTTTAATATGAGACGGTCCAAAAAGGAAAGTGTAAAGTTAATTAAGGACCGGGGGAGTATATAATTTTATTTTTGATATATATATATATATATAGGGGTTGGGTGGGGGCAGCTGTCCCCTGCCCCCACATTGGATCCGCCCTTGAGTGAAAGCTAAATTTGTTATCATTAATTAATTTCCCAGGGTTCAATAAATGGTGCGGCCACCAGTGTACTGGCTACGGGGAGTGCCAGCAGCGTTGCGGCACCGGCGGCGCCACAAGGCTATGCGGACCCATTCGCGGCATCCCTATCCATACCGCCACCCCCGTACGTGCAGATGTCAGAAATGGAGAAGAAACAGAGATTGTTAGTAGAAGAGAAGCTATTATGGCAGCAATATGCAAGGGATGGAATGGGATTGGGGTTCCCCCAAATGAACCACAACTTTTACCCTTACACGCCAACCTATTGATATATGCATGAAAGCTAGCTAGTCTTCACGGGGAGGGCTTGGTAGAATTAAATCCACATCCACATCCACATCCACATTTGGAGCAAACGGTAATATTCTTATTCTACATTTTGTTATCGATCCATCCAAGCTAGCACCACAAGTTTACTCATAATCAAAATGTGAACAAAGTCAATGATGACATGACCTAATACGGACGGAGTATATCATTTAAGTAAGTCTATCACTTTTTCCTCATCCAAACCAATTGAAGTTTTTGATTTTCTATTTCATAATAATCTTGTTGGATTTTATTTATTCCAGACATGGCTGTGGTAGAGTGAATAGATGAGAAATTCGATCTCATTTCTGTACAACTCCTCATGCATAGGAGGCCGCCGGGGGCCGGGAGGGATGTTGAACTCAGAATATTCACCCCATACGCAGAGGAAAAATACCAACTTGGGCAGTCGTAAGGTGCTATCATTGCAACTTGGGCAGCAGAGTCTAAATTTCATATTCATTATTATTATACAAAGTACCAAGACATATATATACATTATAATAATTTGGGAAGAGGTTTTAAATTACTTGTGGGGTAAGTTAAAACAATACAAGTGTTCATTTTTATTTTTGTAATAACTAAAAACAGAAGGTAGATATTCCAGTTTGGATCTCATTCTCATTCCCAAATTAAAGCCTTCTCCTTCTCTCCTTTGTCTCGATGTCTTCCATCGCCCACCACTGCTGCAACCTTCCTTCTCATCACCTCTCTCATCAACCTTCCTCCTACTCATCTCTGCCATTGCGTGTTAAATCTGGGAAGTTGGGAAACTGTTTTAGAAAATCTGGCGGATTTCTCAGAGTATCGTGTGCTCACTTTCCGAATCTAATATTTCGACCCTATGCCTAGGTTACACGAAATTTAGATTATGGGGATAATCACTCTGAGAGACAGTCTAAAACTGAGACACCAATATATAGACCACGAACTAGCAGTTTTAGTAGAACTCGAATTCTTCTGATTACCAAAGAGATAAGGTCAATCAGTTAGAGTTTTACTCTAACAGAAAGTCATTCTATTAAATAATTAATATGGACATGTTTATCCGAAAATAAATTTCCATATTTATTTCTTTAATAAACTAAAATTTTGGTCTGGGGCGCTGCCCCGAGCCCCGCGAGGGCGGCCTCCCTCGACCCCGCTCGCTGACCGGGGGCAGCGAGACCCCCGCCAGGGGCGCTGCCCCTTGGACCCCGCCAGGGGCGCTGCCCCTTGGACCCCGCAAGGGGGCGCAGCCCCCTTGACCCCTGCCATTTAATCGAACCAAGTTTAAATTTAATTTCGTACAAGTGTGCGCTCCGCACCTCCTAACTTGTCTAAAATTAAACTTGAACTCCATTGGTAATCTGTAAATTCCATTACACTAAAATGAACTTGGTGATACTAAAATCACCGACAATCCTCCCCCATTTTAGTGTAACCATGAATCTACATAAACAAGAATAAGAGACAACCAAACTTATGCATACATGAAAATATCGAAACGATTGAATTTTCATATTAGTACATTACACATTCCAAATACTCGAGAATCAGGGTGTTCTAAGAATTGAACCCTTCAACCCATTTGAATACATGAAGATAACATACACATAAGTTCAAATAAACAACTAGTTCAAAACTTTGACACTATTATTAAGCCGAGTGTCCCAATCCATTCATAATCGTATAAAAGTCAAGTCCCAACTTTTCGAAGTGCGGCTACACTTCACGATCATATAGGTAATTCCTTTAATCATGTACCTGCTTACATTTTAACAAAGGAATTATTAAGAATATATATTCAACCCTTTTACTACAGGTCCGAACACACTAACCTGGGATGACAAAATGCATGTGTTCCATTCCTTAAGTATGAGCTTTCCTCATTGAATTCAACCTCTAATATTATATTAGAGGGGAATTGGGTGTCTCGTCATTAGTATTGGACTCGGGCCGGGTGGCCCGACCCGGAACCGGCCCGGGACCGGTACTGTTCCGACCCGGCCCGACACGGTGGCCCGGTCAGTGACCGGTCCGGGTAGGCCCGGCCCGTGGGTTTTCCGGTCCGGGCTCGGGTCACCCAAAACAAGGCCCGACCCGGCCGGGCCAAAAACTATTTTTTTTTCTTTTTTTTCAATTTTTTTTAAATTTTCGGGTTGGGCTGGATATTTTGGGCCATTTGGGGTGGTTTGGGGGTTGGGGGTGGGAGTGGGTTAATTAGGAAGAGGAAAACAAAAAAAAATATAACGGGCCCGGCCCGGCCCGGACCCGGATGTTACCCGGGCCGGTCCCGGGTCCACCATTTCTGACCCACTGGCCCGCCCGGGCCTAGGCCCGGACCCGGCCCGGACCCGAGTCCATCCCTACTCATCATTATGGAATTAAATGGACTTTAAACTCATCCCAATCGCAGACTTGTGCACTAAGTCCCTGGCCAGACCTTTAGTTAAATGATCCGCCAAATTCTGTTGTGATTTCACATACTCAACAGAAATTACACCCTTCATGATTAAGTCCCTAATCATACTATGTCTAACACCTAAGTGTCTAGACTTCCCATTATACACTTGGCTATAGGCCTTAGCCAACGTGGCAGCACTATCACAACGAATAGAAATGGGTGCAATTGGCTTTGTCCATAATTGAATCTCAAAAACCAAATCCCTTAGCCATTTTGCCTCTTTACCGGCAGCAGCTAAAGCAACAAATTCAGACTTCATTGTTGAATTTGTAATGCAAGTTTGCTTCTTAGAGGCCCAAGAAATGGCACCTCCCCCAAGCAAGAATACCCAACCACTTGTAGAAGAATGATCTTCTAGGTGATTTATCCAGCTTGCATCAGTATATCCTTCTAGAACCGAGGGATATCCAAGATAACATATTCCATAATCCATGGTTCCTTTTAAGTATTTGAATACTCTCTGAATTGCTTGCCAATGTTGAGTACTAGGATTGCTAGTATACCGACTCAACCTCCCAACCGCGTAGGCGATATCCGGACGAGTGCTTGTAATGGCATACATCAAGCATCCTATAGCTTGAGAGTATTCTAATTGTGATATTGCCTTGCCTTTGTTTGGCATTAATTTGACACTAGGGTCCATGGGAGTACTCACGGGAGAACATTCACTATAATTAAATTTCTTGAGAATTTTCTCAACATAGTGTGCTTGCGTCATAGCAATTCCTTTGTTCAACCGCTTAATCCTAATACCAAGGATTACATCAACCTCCCCCATATCTTTCATGGAAAACCTTGATGACAATAAACTTTTCGTTTCATCAACTTGAAGTTGATCAGTGCCAAAAAATCAGCATGTCATCAACATATAGGCAAATTATCACACCACACCCGGTTGAATCAAACCGACTGTAAACACATTTATCAGATTGGTTTAGCTTAAAACCACTTGATAAAATAACTTCATCAAACTTTTGATGTCATTGTTTTGGTGCTTGTTTCAGACCATACAAAGATTTGACAAGCTTACACACTTTATGCTCATTACCGGGCATAACAAAACCTTCTGGTTGGTTCATGTAAATTTCCTCATCAAGCTCTCCATTTAAGAAGGCTGTTTTGACATCCATTTGATGGACAACCAGATTGTGGATGGCTGCCAAAGCAACCAACAATCTAATGGTAGATATCCGGGCCACTAGTGCATATGTGTCAAAATAATCAATACCTGGTTTTTGTTTAAACCCTTGTATTACCAAACGTGCTTTGAACTTATCTATAGTTCCATCTACCTTCATCTTCTTTTTGAAGATCCATTTGCAACCCAAAGGTTTAGAACCTGGTGGCAAATCACATAGCACCCATGTATTGTTTTCTAAAATTGATGATAATTCATCATCAATTGCCTCTTTCCAAAAGGTCACATCTCGGGATTCCATGGCCTCTTTAAAGGTCTTTGGATCTCCTTCAATACTGTAACAATACGAGTATTGAAATCCAACCTCATCCCTTGATCCTTCCACCAAATAGAGCTGGAAATCGGAGCCAAAATTTTTAGCAATTCGAGCCCGTTTGCTCCTCCTGACCTCTTGGGGTTCCGGATCTGATATACCTTCTAAAGTTTTTGAAATTTGTCCTTCATTACTGTTAGAAATCAGATCCTTAGGCCTTGAGATTGATGAAAAACGCATTTCATCAAAAATCGCATCTCGCGACTCAATCACGGTATGTACAGAAACCGAATTATTAGGATCTATAACATAGAACCTATATGCCTTGGAATTTTCAGCATATCCTATGAAAATGCAGTCAATTCCCCTTTCTCCCAAAGTATTTATTTTGGGATTGGTTAGTTTGACAACTGCCCGACAGCCCCAAATTCTGAGGTAACTCAAATTTGGAGACTTTTTGAACCATAATTCATATGGGGTCTTCTTGTTCCTTTTATTTGGAACCCTATTCAAGACATAACATGCGGTAAGCATTGCCTCCCCCCAAAAACCCTTACTCAAGCCTGAGTAAGACAACATCGAGTTGACCATTTCTTTTAAAACTCGATTTTTCCTTTCGGCAACACCATTCTGTTGTGGTGTATATGGTACCGTGGTCTCATGGATGATACCAACTGATTGGAAATATTGGGCATCCATATATTCCCCTCCCCGATCAGTTCTAAGACATTTAACCGGATTGCTTAATTGCAATTCCACCTCGGTTTTGTATATTTTGAATTTTTGTAAGGCTTCATCCTTAGAATGCAACAAATACACATAGCAAAACCGAGTTGAATCATCAATAAAAGTTACGACATAATTTTTGTTGCCAAGTGAGGGAGTTGAATGAAAATCACAAAGATCACTATGAATCAATTCCAAAATTCCAGAATTTCGATTAATATTTTGAAAAGGTTGTCTTGTGATTTTGGTCAACATGCAAGTTTTACATTTTTCTGTATTAATATCAAAGGCAGGAATTGATCCATCTTTTGACATTTCGTGCATTCTTCTAAAATTAACGTGACCTAAACGAGCATGCCAAAGCATGGCATTATCAATTGAAGAAGTAAATGATGCAGATGATACAAACACAGAATTTCCAACAGAAGATAAAGTATCAACCAAATTCAAGCAAAACATACGATTAGTAAAATAACCAAAACCAACAAACGTGCCAAATCGAGATAAAATAAATTTATCCGATTCAAAGACTTGCTTAAAGCCATCAGAATTTAAACAACCACCACTAACAAGGTTCTTACTAAGCCTAGGAACAAATAAAACATCAGACAACTTTATTGTTTTTCCCGAAGTAAACGTAAGACTAACAACTCCAAAGCCACAAATTGGTTGACTCGACTTATCACCCATCATCACCGTGGAACCATCATCAACTGGTGTCAATTTCTCGAACCATCGATGATCTTTACACATATGACTTGTGGCACCCGAGTCAACCCACCATGTACGGTCATCATCCTGTACATAAAAAGAACCAGGAATTAGTGAACAATAATTCTGAGTAGAATTATAAAGAGGGTTAGAAAGATTCTGACCTCCTCTAGATGCAGTAGAGTCCTTAGGCCCACTGTTTCCACCACCACTTTTTCCTCCACCACTATTTGCAGCATTGTTCTTATTGAGATTCACCCGACAATCACGCTTAACATGACCCGTCTTTTGACATCTCCAACAAACCAGATCCTTAGGAT